ATTCGTCGCGAAAGAAGTAGCCGTGTTAAGAAATGGCGCGGAATTGACGCATCACATCTTTCGCCCACCGATGTCTTGTGATCTGCTAACGAGAGCGGAAAAATCGCGAGCGTGTTGGTTGACATCTAATCATCATCAATTAAAGTGGAATGACGGACACGTGAATTATGGGTCGATGAAAAGACTCGTTCGGGACGCAGTATGCCGAGAATCTAGCCCCGATTCAGTGATAAGAATCTACGTTAAAGGTCACGAGAAGAAAGAATGGCTGATCGAGATCTTAGGAAACGTTGCCGACGATCGCAACGTAGCCGTCTCCGTCGAGACTATCGATGCTGATTACGAGGATATCGAACGTCTGGAAACTCTAAACGCTTCGCGGGCCTTTCGCTGCGGATATCACGCGAAGAATTGCGCGTTAGAGAACGCTTGTAAATTGCATGATTGGAGGTTCAAAATTCATTATCAGCGCGGCGTCCACGCGCCGTAAAGCGCAGAGATCCGCGCGCGCGGGGTCAATTGGCGCGACACTCGTCGTAGCGGGCGCCGCGGTAGTCGTGGGAGTCGCCGTTGGATAGTTTCCGTCGTTGTGAGACCCGTACAGATTCTGTATAGCCAGAATATCCTCTATGCTCAGCTTAACCGGAAATTGATTCTCGATATCGGGTATATATGGAAACATTATCGAGTTGTTGCGCATGCTGTGTTGTAGACCCAAAGCGTGGCCAATCTCGTGCGTCAGCGTTTGCAACAAATGATGCGTGTTGGGAGGATTTTTATTTAGATACACGTGCCACGGTTCTGAATCGTCAACGTGTACCTCTGACGCGAAATCGGTCATTCCAGAGGGAAAGAACGCGTGAGCTAGGGCTCCCCCGGGACCGTCGAAGATCGCCGGGAAAATGCCTATATTCCTGCGATTCGCGTAAGTGTGCGCGCCCGTTCGATACGATATCAATATATCGGGTCGCAGCGGGTCGCGCGCAAAGGTTAGCGACGAATTCACCGCCCATAACGCGAACGCCGCTTCAGCCGTTCGCGAGAGTTCCTCGCTAGCTACCTGAAAATTCCACGTGAGACGCGTTTTCGGCCATTTTCGCGCGATCAGGCTATACGCGTGATCGGGAATATCCGCGAAACCGCATCGCGATTTACGCATAAGGCTAAGCGTAACGGCGTCTAACTC